AGGGACACCTGGACAGGTCTCTGTCCATCACAGAGACACCTGTACAGGTCTCTGTCCATCACAGAGACACCTGTACAGGTCTCTGTCCATCACAGAAACACCTGGACAGGTCTCAGTCCATCACAGAAACACCTGGACAGGTCTCAGTCCATCACAGAGACACCTGGACAGGTCTCAGTCCATCACAGGGACACCTGGACAGGTCGCAGTCCATCACAGAGACACCTGGACAGGTCTCAGTCCATCACAGAGACACCTGGACAGGTCTCAGTCCATCATATGGAAACCTGAGTTTTAGGAGCTCCATTATCAGCCAGTTTTCAGTCTTTATGAATCAAACCAAACATTATCTTTTAATGAATTATTTACAATCCATGTGTGGTTTAATGTATTCCTACAACAATTATCTTAAATCATGATAAAGTGTCTTAATCCTCCTCTCACAATCCCTCTAATTGCTCTTAACCCCCCAGGATTCACGGCTCTGATGTAATTTCTTATTTGCAAACATCCTCCATTTCCTCACACTTTGTTTGCAGCCATATGAGGAAATCCAGCGCCTGAAATTGCAACCAGTCCCACGGCGTGCCTGGAGGACRCCAGTCCTGTGTGTGCCTGCACATGTGGTGCAATCTGCTAAAGCTGCTTAAATCTGTTCAGTTTCAATTTGCTCTTTGGGTTCAGATATCCTGAAGACGAAGCCCTGAGGTTCTCCGGTGCTCTGAAATATCCCCTCCGGACATGAAAAACAGGAAACTAACATATCACCTGCTCCACCTTCAATGATCCAGTTTTCAACAGTTACCACACCAAAGCTTAGCTCGTTAACTGGAAGCTTTTGTAGTGTTTGCTAGGTTGATTAGCTGTGTCGGYCATCTTTAATCAGGTTATCTTCAAATGTTGGTCAGTTTCTCTTTAATAAAAACAAACTGGGTCTGACCGTCCACAGTGTGTCCAAGCATGGAGTGTGAGAGTAAAGGATGTTTAATGCTGGTGTCAGAGGAGAGATGCAGTGATAAATGAACAGGAGCCCAGCCTGCAGTGTGCGCCTCATAAATGTAGCTTCCAATGTACAGAGGCTCATCTGATTCTCATTTCTGTGTGACAGCAACGTGAATCTCCGCCAACTTTCTTCTCGGGCGCTCCTTATCTGCTYGACTTTTGTCAGAACTGATCACATCTACCAACCTGGAGGGAAACGCTGCAGAAAAACAAGCCCAAATGACTTCACTCAAATTGGTTCCAGAGGCCCAAACTGAGATGTCCGAGCTAAAACAAGCAGACAAACTAAAACAGAAGCTAAAACCCTRAAATCAGCTAAATCATAACCTAAATCTGCAATAACACTAGCTAAAATTAGGAAAGCAATAGATAAAGTCTAGGATTAGAAAACCAGAGCTAAAAACTAAAGCTAGCAATAAGTAGCTAAAAGGTACATTTAGGAAAAYGATGCATAAWTGCTAATATTAGCAAACCAGAGCTAAAASYTAAAGCTAGCAATACAGTAGCTAAAAGCTAAAATTAAGAAARTGATGCACAAATGCTAAGATTGGTAAACCWGAGCTAAAACTTAAAGSTAGCAATACAGTAGCTAAAAGCTAAATTTAGGAAWACRATGCATAAATGCTAATATTAGCAAACCAGAGCTAAAAATGAAAGCTAGCAGTACAGTTAAAAGCTAAAATTAAGAAAATGATAGATATAAGCTATGATTAGCAAACCAGAGCTAAAAACTAAATATAGCAATACAGTAGCTAAAAGCTAAAATTAAGAAAGTGATGCACAAATGCTAAGATTGGTAAACCAGAGCTAAAACTTAAAGCTAGCAATACAGTAGCTAAAAGCTAAAATTAAGAAAATGATGCACAAATGCTAAGATTGGTAAACCAGAGCTAAAACTTAAAGCTAGCAATACAGTAGCTAAAAGCTAAAATTAAGAAAATGATGCACAAATGCTAAGATTGGTAAACCAGAGCTAAAACTTAAAGCTAGCAATACAGTAGCTAAAAGCTAAAATTAAGAAAATGATAGATATAAGCTATGATTAGCAAACCAGAGCTAAAAACTAAATATAGCAATACAGTAGCTAAAAGCTAAAACTGAAGCAAGTATACACACAAATTCTCTGAAAATGCAACGGTTTGTAAATAAAAATGAAATATAAAAAAGTCACAGCTGTAAAGTTGAACTTTTCACACATAAATGGGTGAAACAGCTTAAACTGGTCCAAATAATTAAAAGAATCTATAAACAAAAACAAACTGTGAATGCAGAGTCACTGTTGACACCACTATCATGGATAAAATAGTTATTTGTCTAAAACAGGCACCAAACGACCATGAAACATTTGGGTTTTTTTTTTCTTTTACAGTATTTATTCCTGTTTTCCCATCATGCAAAGCAGCCAGTTTACCAGTTTAGCTTCAACACATYATGATGTGAGTTTGGTCCAAAGAAGCAGCACCTCCTCCTGACTGAGGCGCTGGAGCTTAAAGGATTAATTATTGATGAACGTTCATAATTCATGCTTCTTCATCAACAAGAAGCTTCTCAGCAGAAGATTCAGACGCTGCGGCTGGAAGGCCGTTTGAAACACGACTGAGTTTAGTTTATCTGTGTTTTTACAAGCTGAGGAACAAAATGTTCACAATAMATACAGAAACAAGTTGTTTATTTCAAGTCTTAAAATAAACTCAATGAAGAAGACTTTCTGAGAATCAATAAAGTTTATGATTATTGAGGTTATTAAATTGTTTGGTTACAAACTCACTGGTCTTAAATCATACATTTGATGAGATTAGCGCTCGTTAGCACGGTTTCTCTGATTTCCAGAGGCTTGCTATGCTAACGTTTGTTAGAAAAACGAACCGTGCATGAGTTAATAATTACAACAAGCCCACRCTGAGAAGCAGGAATGTTGGTTTGAAGTGTGGCAGAATAACTGAAGAAAAACTCAAACGTTAGCTTTGATGCACGTGGCTAACTTGTACAACGTCTCAAATGTTGTCAAAGGTGAACTAATTGACCCTCCACGGTGTCTCCAGGAGGTTTGGAGGTTTTAAACTCTCCTCGCTGAACTTGTTACAACTTTATTTTGTCCGCTCCTCCTCAAACTCTACTGTTGGCCTRGTTTATCAGATCTGGGAGTATTTTTGTTCTCATCGGGCCTCTGTGGAGGCTACAGCTGTTATCTCATGGTTTACTAATATGTAACAAGCTCCCCGYCGCCCGATGTCCTCTCATTCTTCCTTTATAGCATCTGTGTGTTGTTTAGATACCAAATAAAACCTGCAGCGAGGACACGTAACCGACTCTTTAAAGCAGATCTGTCAGTCAGCTGGTTTTGTCAGATTATTAAGCAGATTATTGCAGAAAATAAAGATGGATGGATGTTTATAACAACTTATAATGAACATTATTGTTGTTTAGACAACTTTTATTCTCCCTGAAGAGAAGCAGTAAAACTCACATCACTTTAACAATCATTAAAACCTGTTATCTGTTCTTTACGTCCCATATACAGTTTACAGAAGAATATCATGGATTATTTTATGGGCGGAGGCAATAAATGACCGTTAAAGATGATTTGTAGATTATATTCCTGGAACAAATGTTACAGTGCTCAGGATACTTATTGTTTGGATCAAATAGTTAAATAAATAATAAAGTTATGAAACCATTAACTYGAGATGTTATGAAATAAGTTATTAAATAAAATCAATAGTCTTTAATACAAAAATATGTTGGTTAAACAAGAAAACATAACTTTTTCTACACTTAAACCTGTTAGATTTTTTAATATGTGTGAAACAGTGTAAAAAATACAAGTGARTATTCAACATATGATAATGATTTTAATGCAATAAAGGAACAAATAAATAAAAATAATTAGATTTTTACTGTGCCTGCCAGTGCTGGAAAAACAAAGTAAGAACTGGAAAAACATCTAAGTAAAAACTGGAGAGGTTAATTGGTGGATGATGATAAACCTTCAGATTATATCATTTAACAAACTTTTTATTTTCAAAATTAAAGCCTGTTTTATCCAAATCCTCAAAAATCAGTGATGTCTTTAATTTAGATTAAAACCAAACTGATTCCAAACTCACAGTTAGGGTTCAGTTCTGCACATTTGGCTTCACTGAATGATTCCACTGCCTGTGGAGGGACTTTTATTTTGGCGGGGTTGTTTAATTTTCTCAAAAGTCAAAGAAAATGACAGCGAAAARCTCAATTCTTTGATTCAGAGCAACAACACAGACTGAACCAGGCTGACTCCACATGGTTAGAAGTTGAAGACAATTATTAAAATTTATTTTCTGAGACTTTCACTGAAATCCWGTAAAATATTCATAAAATATTTTGCTAAAAGAAACGCTTTAAACAGAGATCTCACAATAAATCTTAGTTCGTCATAGCTGGTACCACGTGAAAACTTAGTTCAATACTTTGTGTTTTCTAAAGTTTAATAATCACTTTAAAGGTTTTGTTAAAATCAGCTCAGTGGTTTAATTGATATTTTGCTAACACAAACATGTAGAGACACGAGCCTTAACAGGAAGAATAAAATTTACCAAAACAATTAAGCCTAATTAATAAGTTTTTGTTAAAGAAGTTTTGGATCGTTGTAAATTGAATATTTTTCTATAACGTTTATAATTTCTTGATATTTTATGACGTCATTAATGTTGGTGTGTTTTTATGAACAAAGCATCTTTGAAGGATTGATGATGATGATGATGCAGAGCCAGAATGAAAGAAGTCTATGTTTCCTACAGCCCCTGAACGCATCACATCCATCACATTTTGACAACTTCCTGAAGTCCGAGACGAGYTCGTGTGAAGTTTACYGTCACGCCTTAAGGTCCGGTTCGATACGTGGCTCCCGCTTCATCCYGGGTGCTGTGGTCACGTGTTTAACCCGAGATAAAGACACGACCCGTGGGTTGAAACAGTAAAAACAGACGGTGCAGGAATGTGGCCACGGATCCGTTCAGGGAAAACGGGTTTCTTCTCGTGCTGCGTTCAAGTGCCACCACAAAACTAAACATTCAGCTCCGTCACGAACCAGCACACCGGCCGCTCACAGCCGAGCCGCGCTGCCTCTTACCTGGACCCGCACGACACCGCCCGGACCGTCCGCCGCGTCGGGCGAGTTGTCGAAGACCCGGTCCCGGTACAGGGACCACAGGCCCACGTTGGGCAGGAACAGGAAAGCCGCCACGAGCAGCCCGGCGACCTGCAGCAGCCTCTTCTGCCTCCGTCTCATGGCGCTCCGCGGGTCCCGACAGCTCGCTTCTCCGAGCGGAGACAACTTTGGGACGGACAGCGGCGCTGTGAGGCTCCGCCGCTAGGGGGGGTTGAAGCAGGGCCGGGGGGAGGAGGAGACAGTCGGTGGACAGATGTTTGGCTTTAGGGAGGAAGTTTTAACTCGTTTTAAAACAACTATTTACTTTGTTTAATAAGAACCGGAAGCGCGAGGCCAAACAGGATGTTAATGAATGGCTGATGCTGGTGCTGAGTTCAAATGCAGCTCGGAAATAAGAGGTTTTTTTCAACAATGCATATATCATCACTCAATTATCAGAGTAAGAAAATTTTACTTGGTAAGATTCTTGAAATAAGAAAAAAATGAGTCAAATCAAGTATTTCAACAATCTTAACAAGTAAAATGTTCTTACTCCACTGGCAGAAATGTTTGACTTAATTAGAGTCAAATTTTC